ATACTTTAATGTCATTTCTATTGAAACTTGTATGTCATGTATTTACTATTTAATTTAATGTGTAATTACACATTTGAAATGATAAAAATATATGAACTTTAAATGTAATACTGCTACACGCTACAGTACAAACTATAATCAAGTAATTTACATGTGCTTTAGTGTGTTAGTCAACACATCAAAACAAGTGTACTACTTTACAGCATGACAAAAGATTAAAGCATGACTTAAAATGTATTTTAAAGTAAAACGTTTAATTTAACATTATTGCAAAGTGCATTTTTTGAAAGTCTACTTGTGTTAAAAATAGTGCTGTAAAACGATTAATCGCGATTAATCGCATCCAAAATAAAAGTTTTTGTTTTATTATGTGTACTGTGTATATTTATTACGTATATATAAATACACACTCACACAGTATATATTTTGAAAATATGTACATGTATATATTTATATTCATATAATTTATGTCATATATAAATATATTTAATATAAAAACGTAACATATTTTTCTTAAATATATACATGCATGTGTGTGAATTTATATATACATAATAATGCATGTGTGTGTATTTATATATACATAATAAATATACACCGTACGCACACATATATTAGGTAAACAAAAACTTTTGTTTTGGATGCGATTAATCGCGATTATTCGTTTGACAGTACTAGTTATAAACCATGATTAAAGTCTTTAAGCACACTTAAATGGCCATTTATTTTATTTGATATTATATTATCTTCAAGTGCAGATAGTACACTACAAAGCACATTCAATACAATTAAGTGCACAAAATCTCAGCATATGAGCGTAAACTGCCAGTGATGAGATTAACTGTATCTAATGCAGTGAAAAGTCTGAACCGTTCAGAAGTGAAATGGTTTATCGGGCTTCTGTCAGTCATTATTAAAAACATAGTCTGTGTCTGTTACATATATTCCTTTATTGGATTTGTAAAAATGGCTTATACGTACATCAGCTCTTCTTTTTATGTGTCACTGACAATAGCACATTCATATATACAAACATAGCCTCTCAGTTACTCAGTTAAAGCGTTCCTCTCTTCCAGTAGATGTCATCCACACACATCTGCTTAAAATCTGCTCCTGTCCTCCAGTAAAGTATCGGTTTCTCCAGGCCTGTGTGCTATTATCCTGCAGCGTGACATCATTTCCTGAGCATGCTGAAGAGATCTGCTGAGTGGCTTTCACTCGCCTAGCTCAGCAAATATAGCAGCTGTTTGGTGAAAATATCGTAAAAAAAGACAAACATCTTCTTATGCACTATGTTTGGTGAATACTGTGTTCAGTTGCATTGTCACAGGATGGCTTGAATCCACTTTTCCACGAGCCGTTCTTGTCATTGTCAATTCAAATCTTGAAATGACTTGAAAAATCTTTTTGTGGTTGAATATTCAAGACAACATGGATACTCTCTCAATAAACTCAACAATACAACAATCTCATATA